CCGGGCCCTCTGCCCTCGTCGTCTCGGGGGGCCTCACCTGTTGGGGGGCCTCCTGCCCATTCTCCTGCCCCACCCCCGTGCACTTCTCCACTCAGACCCCCGTGTCTCTGCTTCCTGCCCCAGCGGTTGCGCCCTTGCCCGTGGTGCCAGGAGGAGAGAGGAGGTGTCTGAGCTCTGCGGGGGCCGACTCGGGGGGCGAGGGGGGGAGGTGGTTAGACACAGGAGAGCCTCCCCAGTTGGCAGGGAGCAGTGACTGGGGGTCCAGTCCCCTTTCTGGGCCTTGGTGCGAGGCACCCGGGCGGAGGGGTGGCACAATGACCTGGAGGTCACCTGAGGCGGCTGGGCATTTGGGCGCCGAGTGAACGGGAAGTGCCTGTAGCCCTGCGTGGCGGGCTCTGCCTGGTGTGCTGGGCGTGGCGGGTCCCGGGTCCGTGCTCGCTGGATGTTGGTGATGGGCTGGAACAGCCACGGTGCTGGTTCTGAGGAGGTGATGGCGGTCCCGGGGGCGCTGCCGATGGGGGAGGTGGTGCCGGGAGCACAGGGACAGGCAGGGTGGTGACGGCGGTGGGGGTGATTGTGCTGATGGGGGGTGGCGAGAGCGATAGCATTGGCAGTGGCGATGTTGGCGGCGATGGTGGTGATAATGTGGGTGCAATGGCAGGGATGCTGTTGATGATGTGAAAGTTGGTGCTGGTGGCAGTGCCGGTGGCGTTGCTGTGATGGCGGCATTGGCGTGGTGTTCGTGGCAGTGATGGCGGCATTGGCGTGGTGTTGGTGGCAGTGATGGCGGTGATGCGGTGGCGATGGCAGTGATGATGGTGCGGACGGTGTTGGTGACGGAGGCATTAAGGACTGTGCTGTAGACGGGGTGGTGATGTTGGTGATGGTGGTGCTGGTGCTGATGGTGCTGACGGTCGCAGGATGGCTGTGTCACCCTTACGACGGTGGTAGTGATGCTGTGGTGCTCGGGTAACATGGCGGCGACGATGACGCTGGTGATGGCGGCGATGATGGTGGTGGCGATGGCGATGACGGTGATGGTGGTGATGACGGTGATGGCGGTGATGACGGTGATGGCGGCGATGACGGTGGCGATGACGGTGACGGTGTGGTGATGGCGGTGGCAGTGACTGTGTTGGTGGTGATGGTGCTGATTTGATGTTGGTGGTCGGTTCAGTGGCAGCTGTGAGGGTGGGGGTGCGGTGACAGTTAAGGTGATGCTGGTGGTGGGCTCAGCTCTCGGGAACTTCCGGTCCCTCCTCGTGGGAACCCGATGGCCGATGGCACTGCTGACGAGGGCAAAGGGCACAGGTAGGGTCCCTGGTCTGAGCCTCTGGGCTGGGGAGTCGGAAGGTGGAGGGGTGTCGGCAGGACTCCCGCCCTCCCAGGCCCATTCCTCCCCGTGGGCTGGGCAGCCCGGGGCCCCTCCCTCTCCAGCAGCCCGTCTGCCTGGCAGGCTCCCGGGGCCTCTGTGGCCCTGCCCAGCCGGGGGCTGGGGTGGAGAGG